AAATGAAGATGTTAGGTTACATGTCACCAGGACTAAATAATTTTAGAAGGTGAGGTTTAGCCCTATTTCGTAGCTCTCGTCTGAGTCTAACCATTGTAGGGAGAGACCTGTCATTTGATGAATTATCTGGTCTTAGTAATATGTAATAGTATTCGTGTGCTAGTTAGGGAAAGGTAAGATGGACTTCTTATGCAGTTGATGGCGGATAGTGGGTTGGAGGAGTACCGTAGGGTAAGCCTCATATGAGATTAGTGCAGCGAGCAGTAGTAGTAAGAGTGAGTTGGTGAAGTCAAGGCAATCCTTGAGGAAAGTACGGATAGATTTGGAAGGTAGTATGGGCCCGTACTACTGAAAACAGAGGATCCGTACTCGAGTCAAGGAGAGATGAGATGGAACCAGGGAACTTGTAGAGTGTATGAGACCTCTCAAGTTTATGTATGACCCTGATGATTATGTGTTTTGTTTCAGAATCGTGGTGACACGTCTCGGAGTAGGAGGTTTTGGGTCTGGTTTAGGTTCGGGTGCAGGTTCCGATCATGTTGATGACAGACTATGCGAGTTCATCACATCTGAGATCACGAGAGGTATCCTTCAGGCAACCCTGGTGATTTTTGGGTCGATCAAGGAAGGGATCATCGACCTGATGGAGGAGCGTCTCAGGGCTTTCAAGAACGACATGACATCTAGCCGGTCTGGGACACACACACACACACTCTCCTTCAAGGATTTCAGGGGGTGTGGTGCGCCAGACATCCACGGGGTGAAGGAACCCCTTGTGGCTAGAAGGTGGATTGTAGACATGGAGTCTGCTCAATTGACTAGCTTCTGCCGTGAGGGGTCGAAGGTTCGATATGTTGTGGGATGCTTTGGGGACCGAGCTCGGGATTGGTGGGAGGCAGTTTGTGATTCACTGGAAGCCCCAGCCATTGAGGCTATGATTTGGTCAGATTTTGTGACCAGGTTCAGGGCCGAGTTTGCACCGGTTGTTGAGCTTCAGCAGCTACCCAGGGGGTTTTTGGATATTAGGTAGACAATTGAGTCGGTAGCGGAGATTACCGCCAAGTTCAAGGAGAGGGTCTTATTAGTGCCTCAATATGCATAGGATGAGGAGACTTAGAAGACCCGCTACCAAGACATGTTGAGAGCTGACATTCAAAAATATATCAACTACTCGGCCTGTCGGACAACCAGATGACATTATTGTCAGGGTGAGAGAGAGGGGATTGATATAGACCACATTCAGAAGAGGAAGACAGAGGCTGGATAAGTCTAACGCCCCGTTTCTGGTACGTATTTGATCTACTTTTATATAATTTGTATTAAGTGAGTCGACGAGTGGCAGCCCTAACTCGTCGAGCAGATGCGAGGTTGGGATGCGGGTTTAAGTAATCTACTCGCTAAGTTTGCGCTTGGACTTGATGAGTAGGCTAGTCTGGATGAAACCCTAATTAAAGGGTTTGCACCCTATTTACACAACATTATGAGCTTCAGGTCCAGCCTCCATCACCTCTAGAGAATTGCTTTCAAAATCCTCACTCCCTTTTGGAAAACTTGAGTTTTCTTAGTGACTTGGATGGTTTTTGGTGCATTGTGTATCTAATAAATGAGTTGGAAGGAAGAAGGATCAAGGGAGAAGGACTAGATCTAGGAGCAACATCAGTTTCTCTTCACTTTCAGGTAATCAAGCTCAAAACTTGACTTGTGGTTTTATAGATTTTCTCCTTTTCCCTTTTATGGAGTTTTGGGGTCAATAAGCTTGATCCTTAAGACTTGGACATCCCAAGTAGATTCAGCTTCAGGTCTAGACTCTAGAACCAAGTTCATGGCATAAAGATGCAAGTTTATGGCCATATTAGCCCATGCACCCATTCAGACCTCA